GCGGCCCCGGCATCCAGATCCCGACACAGCGCTCTGGAGCCTCCGGCCAGGTGAGCCGATCCCGGGAGAAGCCCAAACGCCGGCGGGAGCGGGCGCCGGAAGTCTCGCCCCCACCTGCAGAGCCGAGGAAACGCCTCCCTCCCGGCTTCCGTCGTCTCAGCGGGGTGTCCCCCGCCTAAGAGGCCAGAAGGGGTGTCCCTCCTGACGCCGGCAAAAGTACAAGATCTACCGCGAGGGTTGCTGGGATACGACGCGTTTCTGTCCAAGAGACATTGGGATAGTGACCCCAGAAAGCTAGGTGGGGAATGGGGGATGGCGATGGCTAGCCCTATCTTCCTTTGATGTACATAGTGCACTTTAGGTTACATGGAAATTTGCTTTTTTAGATATGATTTGTTTTTAATAAATGCAGACGGTCCTGACAAAGTTAAGTCAGACACAGACTTTTCTCAACAGCCCGTAAAATAATGGCTTTCACCGATGATCATCAACCAGTTACTTCAACCTAGTGACATCAACGACGGCCGGCAGAATAAATAAAGGTCCTTTGGGGAAAAGTGATAGTCACTGAAAAAAACTAGTACCAGTTGGACCCACTATGCAACCTCGATGTCACCAAACAGAGGCACTGATAGGAACAGGTGTTCATGATGCAATCAGAAATGTCAGCCCTACTCGAGCAGCAGTGTGGCTAGAGTCACTCTCGATATGAGCAGGTGCCTCTGGCTCTAAATAGACGTTTGTCGCAAGCAATGGAAAACATGTTAAGGTCGTTAAAGACATGCGATTATAGGTGATTCTCGGAGGCATTGCAGGTTCGGTTCCTGACCAAGAGCAATATAGCGAATATCGCAAAAAACCAGTTACACGCATTTGTGGCTTGCCCACCGCATGTAACAGTTAAGTTTACGCTATACTCTTCTGGAGTCTATTGGGTGTGCAATACCATTGTGTCTAAAACAACCATGCGTAACCGTCATTCAAAAATGTTGCTAAAAAAGGTTAACCATCATCTCAGCTTTGTGAGTTGTCTTCTGTTTGCTGATGGCGGGTTTTGCCTCTGTGTTGAAGAAAATGCAATACCTGTGAAGCTCAATATAGGGAATCTCAACAAAGCCAGGTATGTCTTATTAGAGAATCTGGGACATTAAACCAGAAAAATGACCTAGTTACGCCATCATACATATGACAAACAAGATGGTAGGACAAACCTCTGAAAGATAAAAACTATGATGCATAATATAAAAATAAAATGAAAGTGTAGTTAACTTTTACCTTACACATCAATTTGAATAATAGATTTTTTTAGGAGTTGTTTTTTTTTTTTTGTTCTATACCCCAACATTATTGAAGTATAATAGATAGTTAGTTGCTCATACTTACATTGTATAATTCAATGAGGGTTTTTAAAATGATAGTCGGCATACAATAATATATTTGTTTCAGTTGTACAAAAAAGTCAATTTTTGAAAAAGCAGAAAAATTGAATTCTGACTGCCATTGGTGTTTTGAATGTGTGGAAATGCCATTGGTATGAGCACGATGAAATAGAACTTGTGCTTTAGTCATATTTGAAGATTTATAGGTAGCATGATGTCTGGCACTGCCAGTGCTACAAGATTAGGAACATATTTATGAATTATATTTGGGTTGATACTGACCTTTGACCTTTGCATAGTAGAGAATCATTTTTAAATCCCATGAAAGAGTATAACTAACAAGAAATGATGGGTATGTGTACATGTAAACAATATTAAGTCAGTGGTCATCCTGTGAGAAGCTATCTCCTACTTAACATTTAAAAGCAAATTTGTCATTGAAATACAAACAAAATTTGAAAAACTTTAGAACTAAGAAATGTTACAGGAGAGTTGGAAAAATCTAAGTAAGCCCTCACCCAAAATGACCACGGTCACTTCTAAATAAAAGTGGAAAATATCTCCAGTACCCTGCAACTGGCACAATGGTCACATGAGTGGTCTGGCACTCTGGGCAATCTCCCGGCGTGGGGACAGGGCAGCGGCATTTTCTTCCCCATGGAACATATTCCCAATGTGTCCTAATTGATTTCTCCCCGCCCGTCAATGTGTGCTCCTGAAACCCTCAGGCTCCACATGCTTGTCATTCATCGGTGCTGATGCTTTTGTATTTCTACAGCACCTCTCACTTCATTTTTTACTATAATGGAGACTATTTCCTTTGTGACTCATCAGCTACCCCTTCAATAAAGGCTTTGAGCAAGGCTGCCTGAGGACACATTTTCTTTTTTTTTAATTTTTTTAATTGAAGAAATGATTTCAATTTTTTCCCCGTCTTCCTACCCCCACCCCCGTCCCTTCTGGTAACCACTACTCTATTATGCATATCCATGGGTCTCTGTTTCTCCTGTTCATTTATTGCTTTTAGGTTTATATCCCTCGTATAAGTGATATCATGTGATTTTCAACGTTTTCTGTCTGGCTTATTTTGCTTAGCATGATTATTTCAAGGTCCATCCATGTCGCAAATGGCGGTATTTCACCTCTTCTTATGGCTGAGTAATATTCCATTGTATGTATGTACCACAGCTTCTTTAGCCAATCATCCCTCGCAGGACACTTCCGTCACTTACATGTACTGGCCACTGTGAATAATGCCTCTATAAACGTCAGTGTGTAAATATATTTTTGAACATGGGTTTTCAAGGCTTTGGGATAAATGCCCAGTAGAGGGATCGCTGGATCATATGGCAGATCAATTCTTAGTTTTTTGAGGAACCTCCATACTGTTTTCCATAGGTGTTATACCAATTTGCAGTCCCACCAGCAATGTATGAGGATTCCTATTTCTCCGCGTCCTCTCCAACATTTGTTATTACTTGCCCTGTTGATCAAGCCATTCTAACAGGTGCCAGATGGTATCCCATTTTGGTTATGATGTGCATTTTCCTAATAGCTAGCAATGTTGCATATCTTTTCATATATTTGTTGGCCATTTGTATATCCTCTAGGGAGAAGTGTCTGTTCAGGTCCTCTGCCCATTTTTTGATTGGATCACTTTTCGTTGTTCTTTTGGACACATTTCTTTATTCTCTGATGTATAACAAAGACCTAGATGAGCCTCTGAAGCAGATGACTTGTGTAGTAAACGATGGTCGAAGCCATGACACGTGCCGCTGTCACTTTCCTTCCACTCCATCTTCCTGCTCTCGCCTTACTCTCTCACCTCATTATTTTGTCTTCATTAACATCTTTCTGCGGTGTGCACACACCATAACTGTTTGCCAGAAATAATCTCCAGTCCCCATGCAGAAACTGTCATTGCAATTACAGGTGACACGATCCTCATTTCCCAGCGAGGAGGGGTGATCTTAGAATCCAAAACTTTTATCTCAGGTTCAGATGACTGCTTTTCACACCTTCCGGATATGCATTGTTTTGGAAGAAATAGACCACATCACAGAAAGTTCAGTAACAATGCTCTTCTGGGTTTGGGACCTCAGAGGAATGGAGGGTGGGGAATGATCATGATAACAATTTCAACAATGGAAACAGCAGCAACAGCAGCAGCTGAGCCTCTCTGGTCTGGGCTGGCCACCTCTCCTGGATTGAAAGCTCCACACGCCATGGTAAGGGGATTGTCCCCAGCTATGGGGCTAGATTCCTACATTTCAATCCAGCCTCTGGCACAAGCTTGTGTGTGAATATGGGCAACCCACTCACTCCACCGTTCTTATCTTTCATTTCCTCACAATATAGTACCAATTCCCAGGGTGCTGGGAAAACTAGAGAAAATACTGAGAAAGAAAACACTGGAATCCTGGCAACAGCAAGTACTCAGTTTTGTTTCTTTTACTAATCCTCATAGAGTGTCACATTTAGCCAGCTAAGATTCTGGGAGCTCTAGGGAGTCACCCTGAAACCTCAGTGCCCATTAGCAGGTGGGCCAGTGGGTTCTTAGAAGCCCCATGACTTTCTCAAAGGGACTCAAGAACAGATGGGCATGTGCGCATTGGGGGAAGTGAGGGGTGTGGGTAGCCTGGGAATGTCACTGCAAGCAGAGGCTTGAGTTGCCCAAACCCAGGTAGGCCACAGGTACAGCTGCCTAACAGTGGATGGGCACCTTAGCTCTTCACCTCCTCCAACAGCTCAGGGAGAAAGGTACACGTTATATCCATTTCACACACAGAAAAAACTTAGGCCCAGACTGCGGGTAGGGGTAATGCCTGTGAGTCCCAACAATATTCGGGGATCTGGGATTCAAGCACAGGCCATCTGACCCAAGGCATGGGGAGTCTGATCATTGCCCTCTATTTCCCTTTCCACCTAACTTTGGGACTCAAAAAACTCTGTGCCCATTTTGATGCCATCTGGTCCCCCTGAGAGTCTACTCCAAGCCAAGGACCACCATGACAGGAGACCAGAAAAAGTGGAGAACATTACAGATCAAGGGTTTACTGTATTACGAAATGTCTAAACTTCTGAAAGTGGTGGAGAATGTTAATAGTGCAAATTAAAATAAAAGTGTGTGTTCTATAGGTCCATTTCATTGTACATATCATTAAAAACTGAAAAAAAAAAACCCAGAACTTAATATCCTAATATTAAAAACAACTATTTTACAAAGCAAACACACACACACACACACACACACACACACACTGAATGAAACTCTACATGCAGTTTTGTTTCACTTTTCACTTTCCTATTAAAGAAAATAGCCAAAATTCATAGATGATTAGACAGAACATATGGTCTAACATTTTAGCAAAGATAGAGAGAGAGCAAATCCACATACAAAAAAATGCTCACTATAAATCCTCAGGGAAATACAATTAAAACAGTGAGATAGCACGACAAACTTATTCACCTACCCTGCAATTCAAACTTTGCATCATGAGAATTATTAACAAAAGATAAGTGAAAAACATATCTAAATAAAGAATTATACAGAAATGTTTCTACTAAATTTATTTTCAAGTCACAATTAGAAAGATGCCAAGGTCCATAAACAACTGAATGGGTAAACAAATGGTATATTCAAAGATAAGAGCATTTCTCAGAAGAAAAAAAATGAGGTGCTCATATATCATTGATGACTCTAAGTATTTATGAAACATAAAAGGATAAAAAATACTGATTCCCATCATAAAAATTCTAGAAAATACAAAGTTATCTACATTAAAATGGAAAGTAAATCAATGATTCCTTGGAGAGATTATAAAAGGACATGAAGTAAATATATAGTGAAAGATATGGTCAGTATTATGACTACGGTGATGGTTTGGGTGTCATACATGTGTGAAAACTCACCAAATACTATACTTTAAATATGTTGTCTATTATATGTAGATTATGCCTTACTAAAGCTTTTAAATAATGGTTCTATATTTTAATCTGTATGTCCAACCCTTTTCAAAAAATAGGTTCGGCAACACTATATTCAATCTACCTTTTCATGTTCTCTGCGGGTCAGTCTTTCCTCAGCGACAGCAAATGTGGCAAACAATGGGGGACTTTCGTCCAAATTAACAGGAATGCTGGCTGGGTCACAAAAGCCACATCCTTTGGCTATACATACCCTTGTTCTCAGATCCTTGTTTTCCTGCTTAGGTAGCAACGGCCCTGCGGTGAACCTCTCAGAGCCTACAGAAATCCACAAAGCCTTTGGATTACTTTCCATGACACTAACTTCCAGTACAGAAGATAAATATGCCCCGAGGTCCTCAGACTTCTGTACACAATGATCCTGCAGTCTTTGCCACAGGAATATTTGTGGACGCGCTTTTAGACAAGGCACATTCCACATAATTGGCTGTGGTCTGGTCTCCTCCAATTCCTATTAAGCCAGTGTTCCTGTAGCAGTCATGGATTCCTCTGACGCCTATGGTCTTACAACCAGGGACCATCAACCACTGAATTGTGCACATCGGGGAACACGGCTCTTTGAAAGAGATTCCCAGAGCACTGACATCCCTTGTGAACAAGGAAGAAATTCATGCGGCTCCCAGAAGCCCTTGAAGTTGTCACATCTGTCCCCCTCCTCGGGGTAATCTCTGAGTCACCTAAAACTATAGCATCCAGGCTTCTGTGAGGACTAGATAAAACTATGAAGACCAGAAAACCCTGCAGTCTTTCCTAGGAGGTGGGGCAGCTAAACAAGTTTGGCAAAAACTGATGAGCTAATTTCTGCTGTCATACTCTCCCCTTGAGGCACAGAAAGTTTGAGAGCCTCGTAAAAGTTGTTCACCTCTTCATACTTGTACAACACAAACTGTTTATAAACTACCCCACACAGTAAATACAATGCCCAAGATTGAAGAGAACTTAAATAATAAAGTCTTCATTGTTTACCAACCAAAGCGACATGGGCCTGATAATTGTTGTGTTCGTGACTTGGAAACTCAAAAATGTCATCACAAGTACCTAGGAAAACCATGTCCCTGAGAAATGCAGTCCTCTGCACCTGCCAGTTGAACTCATATGATGTTCTCTGCAGCCAACACTGGGTCAGGTCCATGCTCCAACTAGTCAGAGTGAAGGGATTGCAGCTCCCCTAAAAATTAAGGCTACTTCTCATGTCCTCTACCATATGAGAGAAGTTAGCTTCCCCGAGCACATTAGGATGGTGATTGATGCGAACTGTGAGGACCTGTTAGATGGGAGAGGGGAAATAGCTATGGCCACAGAACCCGACAGTGACATAAATCTGACAAAAGACTGGGCAGATTAGAAAGTGCAACATAGTCAGGTTTCCCACATCACTAAAACTTATGGGGACTCTCCTGACTGTTGGGGTTTGAATGTGAGATTCAATTCGGACACATGGCACCTCAGTTTCCTCCAGTGTTGTTAACACTGATCAAAGAAATTGTACATTTCCTAAACATCTAAGGCCTACCTCCAGTGTGAACTCTCATGTGCTGAAAAAGGTTAGATTTCCGGCTAAAAGACTTCCCACATTCGCTGCACTCATAAGGCCTTTCTCCTGTGTGAACTCTCTGATGATAAACAAGGGCAGAGACAGAAGTAAAAGATTTTGCACATTCACTGCACTCGTAATGCTTTTCTCCTGTGTGAACTCTCTGATGATTATGGAGGGTGGAACGAGAAGTAAAAGATTTCCCACATTCGCTACACTCATAAGGCCTTTCTCCTGTGTGAACCCTCCGGTGAATGGTGAGGTGAATTCTTTGCGTAAAGGATTTCTCACATTCACTGCACTGATGGGGCTTTTCTCCAGTGTGAACTCTCCAGTGTTTAATGAGTATCGAACTATTTGTAAACGATTTCTCACACTCACTGCACTTATAAGGCCTTTCTCCTGTGTGAACTCTCTGATGATAACCAAGGGCAGAGACAGAAGTAAAAGATTTTGCACACTCACTACACTCATAAGGTTTTTCTCCAGTGTGAACTCGCTGATGTTCTTTCAACTGGGAACTATACCTAAAAGATTTCCCACATTCACTGCAGTCAAAAGGCCGTTCTCCTTTGTGAACTCTCTGATGACAACGAAGAGCAGAGCTTGAGGTAAAGGACTTCTTGCATTCACTGCACTCATAAGGCCTTTCTCCGACATGAACATTTTGATGATAACGAAGGGCAGAGCCATAGGTAAAAGATTTCCCACATTCAGCGCATTTATAAGGCCTTTCTCCTGTGTGAACTCTCTGGTGTATATTGAGGTGATATCTTTGGGTAAAGGATTTCCCACAATCACTGCATTCATAAGGCCTTTCTCCTGTGTGAACTCTACGGTGTCGAATGAGTATTGGTCTTCGGGTAAAGGATTTTCCACACTCACCGCACTCAAAAGGTTTTTCTCCCGAGTGAACTCTCCGATGATAACCGAGGGCAGAACCCGAGGTAAAAGATTTCCCACATTCACTACATTCAAAAGGTCTTTCTCCAGTGTGACCTCTCTGGTGCTGAGAGAGGTAAGATTTGTGCCTAAAGGATTTCCCACATTCACTGCACTTGTAAGGCCTTTCTCCTGTGTGAACTCTTCGGTGTATAACGAGATGATTTCTTTGGGTAAAAGATTTCCCGCAATCACTACACTCATAAGGCCTTTCTCCCGTGTGAACTCTCTGATGATAACGGAGGCCAGAGCTAGAGGTAAAAGACTTCCCACATTCACTACATTTATAAGGCTTTTCTCCATTGTGAACTCTCTGATGATAACGGAGGGCAGAGCTAGAAGTAAAAGATTTTCCACATTCATTACACTCATAAGGCCGTTCTCCTGTGTGAACCCGCTCGTGTTCAGTGAAGTCGGATTTTCGTCTAAAGAATTTCCCACATTCAGTGCACTCATACTTCATTTTTTCAGTACAGACTGTCTGTTGCTGAATAAGCACAGAGCTACTGCTAAAAGATTGTGCACATTCACGGCACACATAACAATTTTCTCCCGTGTGACTTCTCTGAGGATAAATGAGGACAAATTTTTGGTTAAAGGATTTTCCACATTTGCCACACTTGTGGTGCCTTGCCCCAGTATGAATTCTTCGATGTTGACTGAAGATTGAGCTTCCCCTAAAGGATTTTCCACAGTCGTCACACACATGAAGTCTGTCATCAGTGTGGATTCTTTGGTGAACAACAAATGAGGATTTGTTCTTGAATGTTTTCCCACATTCGTGGCACACAAAACACTGGCTTTCAGTGTGGATACCTGGGTCCTGAACGAATATGTGTTTGGGGCTGAAAACTCTCTTGCATTCTTCCCAAGTGTTGTGACTTTTTATACTTTGGAAAGTCACCTCACACTCGGAGATTTTGTTTGGCCGCTCTGTGGTGTGACTGTCTTGTTGTTGGAGAGGTCCGGCAGGGGTCAGGAAGTTCTTCCCAACCTCGCTGCAGACTGAGGGCTTCCCAGACACATGGAAATTGCAGCTCATCACAAATGAGGTTCTGTCCACACTGCTTACGAAGGGTTTTCCCCTCAAAGGCTGCTCCTGGTGCTGCTGACAATTCGCACTGAAATAAAATTGTTTCTCACACGCCCCACACCTCAACAGTTTCTGGCTGTGCTGTGTTCCCTGGTGCTCGGGCAAGTGAAAAATGTCTCTTAAGACTGGACCACACATTTCACAGGGGTGGGTCCTCTGGGACGATGAAGGTTCCTTCGGAGTCCCGCCATGTGATGCTCCTACAGAAATGCTCGGTTCAATGGACGCCTCCACATCCTCTGCTCCACAGCAGCAACCTGAACGCAAAGAAATGCTGGTGAAGTACACGCTGACTTTATTGGAAAGGGACAACTCAACAACAAATGTGCAACTGAAAACCGAAACAGAGCAGAGGTAACTATGCTTATGTCAGACTAAATAAGACTTTGGGTCAAAAACTATCGCTAGAGACAAAAAAACATTATTAGGTAATGACAGAGCAGCTAATTCATTGAGAGGATGTAACAATTATAAGTACATATGAACCAAATATCGAGCTACTAAATATATCAAGGAAGTACTATCAGATCTGAAGGCAGAAATAGACAGCAATGCAGGAATAACGGGAGACTTCAATACCCCACTTTCAGCAATGGATTCTCCAAAACTATCAATCAGAGAACACTGCACTTGAACTGCATTTAAGAATAAATGGACCTGACGTATATATGCAGAAGGTGTCATCCAACTGCAGCACAATACACATTCTTCTCAAGTGCACATGGAACATATGATAAAATAGATCATGTGTTAGGTCACGAAACAAGTCTTAACAAACTTAAGAAGATGAAGTCATATCAAGCATCTTTTGCAAACACAATGGTAGGAAACTAGAAGTCATTCAGAGGAGGAAAGCTGGAAAAATCACAAACATGAGAAACTGAAACAACACATTCCTGAACAATCAATAGGTCAAAGAAGTCAAAAAGTATATTCAAAGATATGAAAATGAAAAAAAACCACCCCTTTGAATGAAGGAAAAACTGTAAGAGGAAGGTCTACAGTGATAAATGCCTACATTAAAAAAGATCTCAAAAAATCTCCCTTTATACTTCAAGATATAAGAAAAATTAAGGCAAAAGATACCTGTCGGTAGCAAAACAAAAATCAGAGCATAAATATGTGAAAGAGAAACTAAAAAATAGAAAAGATCAATGAAATTGTGTTTATTTTTTGAAAAGATAAAAAATGAACAAACCTTTAGCTAGACTCATAAGAGAAAATACTCAAAATCAGAAGTGAAAAAGGAGACATCACAACTGATATCAGAGTAATACAATCGATCAGAAGAGACTTCTATGAACAATTAAATTCCAGCAAATTGAATAATTAAAAGAAATGGATAAATTCCTAGAAATATATAAACTTTTAAAACTGAATCATGAATGAACAGAAAATTTGAAGAGACTTATAACTGGTAAGGATATCGAATCAGTAATCAAAATCCCCCAACAGAGAAAAACCCAGGAACAGAGAGAATCCCTGCAAATTCTACCACATATTTAAAGAGGTAACATCAAACCTCAAAATTTTCCCAAAAGATGAAGAAGCGACACTTTCAAATTCATTTTATGAGGACAGCATTATTCTGATATCAAAGCCATATCAGAAAAATAAGAGAGAAGAAACTTACAGGCCAATATCCCTGTTGAACACAGATGTAAAAATCCTCGACGAAATTCCTGTACACCAAAAGCGACAGCACATTCAAAGGATCATACACTGCAAGTAAATAGGATTTATCCCAGGAATGATGGTAAAACGTGTGCAAATAAATGAATGTGATACAGCACATTAACAGAACGAAGGATCAAAATCATATGACCATATCAACAGATGCAGAAAAACCATTTAAAAAAAAAAATTAAGTATTCTTGCATGATAAAATCCTTCCACATATTAGGTATAGAAGGAATGAAACTCAGCATATCTGACAAACCCAAAGCTAACAACATACTCAATGAGCAAAACATAAAAGCTTCTCCTCACATCAGGAACAAGACAAGCATGCCCATTCTCTCCACTTTTATTCATCATAGTGCTATAAGTCCTGGCCAGAGTAATTAAGGAAAACAAGAAATAAAGAGGATCCAAGTCAGAATGGAAGAAGTAAAACTGTCTGTTTCCAGATGACATCATCTTACATATAGAAAACACTAAAGACTCCACTAAAACACTGTCAGAACTAATCAATAAATTCAATAGTTGCAGGAATTAAAAAAATCAAGATACAACTCAGTTGTGTCTATATACAGTAATAATAAAGTATCTAAAATGAAAATAAGGAAATAAACCCATTTGTATCATCATCGAAAAGTCTACTCAGGAATAAATTTAACCTAGGAGGTGAAAGATCTGTATTCTGAAAATGATAAACTGTGAGGGGAGAAATTGAAGAAAGCACAAATAAATGGAAAGATATCAAGTGTTCCTGGATTGGAAGTATTAATATTGTTACAATATCCATTTTACCCAGAATGACATCTGAAATCTATGCAACTCATATCAAAATTCCTAGGACACTTTTCACAAATATAGAAAAATCAAATCTAAAATTTGCATAGAACCACACAGACACAAAATCAATAGCCAAAGCAATCTTGCAAAAAAAGAACAAAGCTGGAGGCATTCTACTTCCTGATTACAAAATATTACAAAGCTGTAAGCAGTCAAACACTGTGGTATTGGCATCAACATAAGACTCAGGGAACAGAAGAGAGCACACAGATTGATTAGGGCCCTGAAAAAACGAAACGGGGAAACGGTAGTCTCTTCATTGTATAGTGTTGGGAAAACTGGATATTTATGGGCCAAATAAAGTGAAACTGGACCCCTATCTTATACGACTCACAATATTGAAAAAGAACTTGAATGTAAAAATAAACGTACAACCTGAAATTGAAGACTTTTAGAAGAAAACAAGGAAAAAGTCCTTTAACATTGGAGTGGAGAATGAGTTTTTGGATATGTCACCAATAGCACAGACAACAAAAGCGAAAAATAAACAAGTGGGACTACACCAAACCAAAAAGCTTCAGCACAGCAAAGGGAAGCAATCAACAAAATGAAAAGGCATTCTAAGGAATAGGAGAAAATATTTGCAAAAGATATATCTCATAAGGGACTAATATCCAGAATATATAAAGAACTCACACAGCTCAACAACGAAAAAATCTAATTAAAAATGGGCAAAGAATCTAAATACACATTTATCCAAAGACACACAAATGACCAAAAGATTTATGAAAAGGTGTTCAACATCACTAATATCAGGGAACTACAGATTCAAAATACAGTGAGATATCGCCTCATACCAGTTAGGATGGCTATTATCAAAGAGACAACAGATAACAAGTGTTGGTCAGGATGGAAAGAAAAAGAGATCCTCGTACCTTGTTTGTAGGAATTTGCACCCCATTTGTAGGAATGTAATTCAGTGCAGCCATTAGGGACAACAGTAGTGAAGTTCATTAAAACTTTAAAAATAGAAATACTACATAGTCTGACAATCCAACTTCTGCGTATACTATATCCAAAAGAAAAAAAATCAGTACCTCAAAGAGATATTTGTGTTCCCATGTTTCTTGCAGCATTATTCACAAGAGCCAAGATACAGAAACAACCTAAGTATCTGTCTACAGATGGATGGGTAAGTAAAGTTTGGCACAGAGACACAGCAGAGTATCACTCAGCAAGGAAAAAGAAAACCATGCATTTTTGACAACACTGATGACCCTGGAGGGCACAGGGCAAAGTGAAATAAGGCAGACAGAGAAAGACAAATACTGGATGGTATCACTTATATGTGGAATCCTAAGAAAAAAGAAAATTGAACCATGCAAACGAGCAGAATGCCAGGGGCAGAGGTGAGGGGAAGTGGGCAGACACCAGCCAGTTGTAAGATTAAGCTCTGAGTATCTAATGTAAAACGTGGTGCTGACAGTTGAA